CAACCAAAACCGGCGCACGAAAGTGCATGGTTAATGGTTGTTCAAACTGAAACTGAATGGTCGAGTGTATGTTGCAGCAGTTCCGCCAGTCTTGCTCTACGGTGCAGAGACTAAGGGAACAGGATAAAAATAGATTACCGGTTTTCGAACACCGCTGTCTACGTAGCATTGTACGAGTCTGGTGGGGTAGTGGAGCAATGCAGAGGTTAGGCGTAGAGTTTTAGGCCTTTGCGGTCGTCCACTGGAGCAATTGATCGACCTGCATAGATTACGTTGGTTGGGGCATGTGTTACACCATCATCACCATCATAATCGTACAGCGAGATACGGCGAAGCGAGCTTCACTGATCGCTGCCAAGCTCATAATGTACACAAATTAAGTGATAAAGCATAAGATGGAGAGGGTTTGGGCCTATTCAGAGGGAGGCAAAGAAAAATAACCCCTATATTCAACACACCGAGTACACAATCTAAGTGTTCACGCATACGTTTTTCAAGCATTTTGCCTTGTTAAGAAATGACACCAAGAGTGCCACTGCGGTCGGTCAGTCACCATATCCTTTAATGTCTCCAGCCAACTAGTTGTAGAGTCTTTCGGACCCCAGCCTGGAAGACGGGAGACACCGATTCTACATAATCGCTCTGTGCGTTTCTTCATGCCTCGCTTTCAAGTCATCTGTTGACCACCACGCGGTTTCTTTCAACGTGGAGTAGCAACTGCGAATAAGGCGCGATACGGCAGACGATGGCTGGGCATGCGCAATACTTGTCCTAACCAGCGAAGTCGACTAATCTGAATTCAATGGGACAAAGAATTCTCCATCGAATCATTACCAAATACGCGACGCCTCACCTCAGAGTTGCTTACAAGATCGCTCCATCCAACCCGAGCCAAACTGCGTAAACAGCTGTTGTCGAATACTTCAAGACGACGCATATCTTCAAGGTGCTCAAGGCGTCCAGTCAAACCGGGTGACCACTGTCACATTCAGGAAGGTGTGCGAGTTGTTCGTGAGACTCTTGCTGGTCGGTTTGGGGTCCATTTTTGTCCTACGCTCGGCCAAGTGCTGGTGGTTTACCGACCTATAGCCCCGGATGTTGGCTTTTCTTAGTCCCATATTGTCGGAAAACACTGTCACGTTAAGGTAGTCGATAAAGCTCCCTCAGCAGAGGTTATTTGAAACACCTGGTTGTATAAAAGCATTGAGCGGAGCGCAAGGCAAGGGTCGTTGGTCACGAACCAGGACATCCACTCCCTATCACACTGAGGTATTCGTCGACGCATAGGAATGTCGTCAAAGAAATAACCATGTTACCGACTGCATAGTATGATACTGTTCATCGCGCACGTTAAAGGAGCAGGTGTTCGAGAATTTATTGAAATAGTTATTGTTAATCTTTGCGTGGCATCCGTGGTGCAACATTCCAAGGATCGTTACATCGATCGAGAACACAAGAGACAGCAAAAAGCTTCGTCAATATCAAGTCGTAGCCAGCAGCTCCTCACCCTCGCAACCACTGCGCAATCAGCACGATTTGGATTTACGTCAATCCTGCTTTCCATGGGTTGGTTTTTGTGCTGTTGCCGTGAGAATCAAGGGAGTTTAAGCTACTGGTCCATTCGTAGTTTGCACACACTCACATAGTGCCTTAATCTCAGTGAGAGTTACGGAGCGATTCTTATCAAAAAAATTTCACTGCTTAGTGAGCATATCATCCGAAAATTGTCCTTTCGAAATGCTTACAGATTTTCATGTTTACTCCGAGTTGGTCATTATATCTGACAAAAAGTGGGTGCAATACCCTACGATCTTCGCATGGGGCTTTACGTTCTCTGGGTTTACATCAACCTATATTTCCTCGGTTACTTCGTCAACGACCATTTTGAGCTCGCCTAGTTCTTTCTAGGAATGACAAATTATTCAATAAAAAAAATCATCACTGCAAGCAGTTCCCAACTCCTTGGTCGATTCACAGCGGCATAACTGAGGAGCGTGAAATTCGAGGGGAGCACTTTGCTCAAGGCAGGAGACGACCTTTAATAGCTGTTTACAATCCAGGAGGTTAGAAGCGGTATCATGAAGAGTATATTGATGATCGCGCTGCATGGATTAAAACTTATTGTCAGTGCATTTCTGAACGAATGTGATATTCGGTATCTAGAATTTGAATCTTGATGGCTCTGATGCACACATGATATGACTTGTAAGAGCGAGATAGCCTTCAGTCATTGGGTGCATGGCTGGGACTCGATCGTGGTCTGGAATGCCAAGTTTGCGAATGGGAAGTTTCAGCTAGTAATTCTCGAAAGGTGTTAGAAAGCTGAGTCACGTTAAAACCTTTGATTGTTTTTCTCCTTAGAATTATAGAAAATAAATTGCAAACCGTGCTTTTTCCAACTGGACAATGCATCTATGAGCATAGCCTTCATCAATGCAAGCATAAATCTTTCATTCGGTTGGCTAAAGTAAAATGGGATGAACAATCGACTTCAATTCTCGGGTGGCGCTCATGTTAAGTGCACCATAGAGCAGAAATCCTATGAATTACAACGGTAGCTTCGTTTTTTGACGGTGGTTTGAACTGAATCGCTATCATCCCTGGGTTCACGAGTAAACTGTTTTCATCCAAACAAGTAGTGTCAAAATAACAAGTGAATAATTATAGTTATACTGACCTGCAACTCTTTCTCCTTGCGCTGACGAATTGAAGAAACCACAGACTCATCATCATCTAACCCGTCTGATTGCCCAGAGAACATCCAGGGATCTGTTGCTTGCTGAGTGCTATCAGATGCATCTGGAGCGGACGAGCCATTCGGACATCGAGTAGAACCAGCACTGGAAGCATTTGATGCCCCATGAGCAGTGCAACGTCTATCACAAACCTGGTAAGTATCCGAGTTGCTATCATTACGTCCAGTCGCGGACTCGTAATTTTCAGCCTGATTTTTGGGTTCGGTACGTTGACACAGAAAACCCAATTGAATCAAAAGTTGCAGACTGTTCCTCACATTGGACGCCGTCGTCTCGAGTTCCTGAATAACGAAGACAGGAAATATGAACCGTTACACTTGCTAATAAGAAAACAGTGACCATAAGTAGGCGGGGTTCACGGACAAACGGAAGCATTAGAAATCAGAACGCTGTCTACTGTCCAAAGATAAAATATCGTGAGTACGCAACTTCAGAGAAGTGAAACTCATTCAGCCATAACAGTGGCATCTACCAGGGTAGCGCGAGGCTGGCCGGTCTGCTTACACAACGTCGAATAGCAGCCGCTTCAGTGAACCGTAATAGACGGCTACCTTTCTGGCGGAGCAAGACACGTGTGTTCGCCTGNCGCCTGTCCCCAAACCTGCCACTGTTTTAACCAAACGCGATCTGAGTGTATATACACAGGTGATGAGATTACCACGAAATAGTTGAATTCAACACATCCTGTGATCATGATGCTTCTTGCTCTCATGAAATTCCTATGATAGCTTTGAGAAAACGAGTCGGTGAGCGAAAAATTGTTTTCGGATATTCCTAGTCATTCTCTCACATATCACATAATGGAAAAAATAATGGTTACATAATGATAGCCATTGGCTCAATCTAAGGTCAATAATCGGAGGCAGAGGGTAGAGGATGTGTATGTGTGCGTGTAAAAATGTTTAGTGTGCTAGTTGATGTGACCTTTCCCCACTTGGGTCAAGTGACACTTCATGTTCTGTCTTGATTCTCACACCCGGCCAAGGCAATTGGAGCGCTTCAACCAGTCATTTTAGGGCACACAGGTTGGGGCCTAGTAAGCGAATGGCGATCGCCTCGGCCATAAGTAGTGTCCAAACTCGGGCCGCCGTCGATAACAATATTCGGCTCATTACGGAGAAGGAAAACGCCATCTGTGTCCCCCAAAAAGAACTATTCATAAGGATCCCATTTAACGGAGACTCACACAGAAAGCCTAGTACAGTCACTGAGAGCGGCTGTAAATTCCACTTTCCCCTCAGCCAAACTTACACCAGTGTTCTCCACATCACCGGTGATGCGAATGCAAGTGAAAGACAAACTGCCGAAACTGACCTCATCCATGATAATCTACTCTTTTAAGTGCGTCTGTGACGCTTGCTACATAGGTTGTATGGTAAGGCGTTTGTCTCAACGCGTTAAGGAGCACCACCCACGATGGTTAAATCAGGGAAAAACAGGCTGTAACTCAAACGCGACCCTGGGTCATCTCGTCGATACCGGGCACATGATCGAACCGGAGAAGGCTTTCGATGCGGTTAATCGCATCCCAATCAATCGATCGAGGGCGGCCCGAGTTTGGACACTACTTATGGCCGAGGCGATCGCCATTCGCTTACTAGGCCCCAACCTGTGTGCCCTAAAATGACTGGTTGAAGCGCTCCAATTGCCTTGGCCGGGTGTGAGAATCAAGACAGAACATGAAGTGTCACTTGACCCAAGTGGGGAAAGGTCACATCAACTAGCACACTAAACATTTTTACACGCACACATACACATCCTCTACCCTCTGCCTCCGATTATTGACCTTAGATTGAGCCAATGGCTACCATTATGTAACCATTATTTTTTCCACTATGTGATATGTAAGAGAATGACTAGGAATATCCGAAAACAATTTTTCGCTCACCGACTAGTTTTCTTAAACTTATGAATATCATCGCAATGACCGTTTAGTTTGTACCTGCATGCACAAATCTGAAGGAAACAAGTGATCTCAACACTGTTGTCGTGTATGGCTATCGACAGGTGATTAATAAGAACAAAGAACAGACCATTCCCACCGAACAGATTGTTGTCTCCGTAATTTCAGTGGCATTCATTCGGTCAGTCCAGATCAATAGCAATGACGCTGAACATGGTGCACATGGCGAATACCGTTTACATAAAAGGGTCCAAATTTTACCAACAGCCACATGGCGGTATGATCCACGTGGTGTTCCGATCCGCACAACATGGCACATTGGTGCCTGGAGGTGTTCGAAACTGTGTGCGTTGCGCACTATTTTCGGTATCAACACGACTAAGAATGCAGTGCCATGTGGTTAAGGTTACGCACAGAAATTTTAGTGACCATAATGTTTTCCGATGTTTGACATCGTTGGTAGAATAAGGTTGGGTGGATGGGTACGCTTAGGGAAGACTAATTAATTTCGATTGAACTGAATAAACCTACTAGGCCTTCAGATCAGCCAAACTTCATGGGTCACGCGGAAGTAACTGTTAAAACAAGTCGGTCCAACAAAGCAGAGAACAGAAGAATTCCAGAATATGCCCATTTTAACATGAGAACACGAATTTAGAGGCAAAGAATTCTTTTGAATGATTGAATGACTATCCCTGTTCAAAATCACTTTTCCTATTTGATCTGTACAGGCCAGAAGGTGAAACAATGAAAAGAATTCTTCGCCTCGTGTTCTCAACAGAAGGATTGACAAAAACGCAGATAGGTCAACTGTTTAGAAATGTAAATAACTGAAAGGCGGACGATTGTTCCCCCAGATATCGAAATCTCATAGTGTTTTCACCAATAATGTTCACACCACACCGAATTTTCTTTCTTCGTCATTGCATCATAACCTTACGATGTAAAATACTTGAAAACAACAATGTCCAAGGTAATTTGAGAAGGCCGATGAATCATAATCACGTGGTTAGCCTATTCAGCCAGGATGCAAATGATGTTGCTCGTCGTCAATCGCCGAATGGAAAGTTGAATAAAATAGGAGGGATCGAGGAACGCAGATACCCCCTTGGCCACAGTGTTTCGTTTGAAATCGATCACACGACTTGAGTTGTTATTCCCTCATATAAGAAGCATTTGTGACTACAGGTACCCACCTCAATAAACGCTGAATGCGATGGAATATGGAGTTAAACGGAACAAAATTGTCCGGCATACATAAAACATATTCATACTTTGCATCAATCACGTCGCGTTCAACGGAGTGCTGCATGAGATGGATCACACCAGTGTAGTAGAAGCCATGACTGATATATCTGGATGAAATTAAGGAAACTGACATGACCGTGATACTTTGGTTTACACGGTGATCATGGTAATGCGTTACTGATAAAACCAAACTGAGATCGATCGATTGGTTTTCAGCACGGTCAATTTAACCGAGTAGTACAACAGCCCAAATAAACAAACTCCAACTTTCCCGAGACTAATTTCAAAAGAGAAGACAATATTGTCTTTTCTTTTGCAACTCCAATTTGATCTAACAGTTCGCCCCCATGTGTCCCAGTCCTCATCTCGTACAGGGTTGGCACTCATCTTATTACCAACTAGCGGTTGATGACACATATAAAATGAACTTTAAATAATAAACATAACTCACACTCCTATTTGATAGACAAGATCAGCAAATAGCAAAATGACGTGCGGTTGTGGATTCTGCTTTTCTGGTACCAACAAAACTTACCCTGTACTAAAATAGTGCTACAAACAGCTTGATTTACAGTAAGCCAAACCCTAATATTATTCACTGACAGCCAAAATTTGTGAATATCGCTGAATTATAAATTTGATCAGAACAAACTTAATACCTAAAACTTCCCAGCTTACTCGATAAAAGCAGAGCTGTGTGCTACCGAGCTCGTCCCCAGGTCGCAGATAGGGGAACGGCCGCTAACTGTGAATAAGGTGCGTTTATTCTCACTGAATAATCGGTCGCGGACGATCAGCGGCAGTGCTCGAGGATGTGGTGGTTTTACCACTTGGCAAGGGTTTCCCACACAGAACATCACATGTACCTTATGACAGCGCTGCGACGTAGTGAGTGTGGCCCGCGAGTGAATACGGCCATTGCACTCCTTGTCGAATTCCATCTACCTGACAAGGTTTTCCAGAGAAGGCGAATGAACTAACCGACCGGTCACCAGCTTATTTGGAACAATACTGCTGCCTTGTAGCTCGCGCTTGGTTGCGTAAAGGCTAGAGTGTATCCTCGAACAAGGATTAATCTGGACTGGGCGACCGAGTTGTACAATAGACAACAATACAATTAAAATGAACTTCAGCATAAACAGCTTTGCATTGGTACCATGCTTGTTCTCAAGCCGGTATAAATTATACAGTACTGGCCGAGTGTGATACTCTAAAATATGTTCTTTATGATCAAATGGAGTTTCATTATATTTAGGCATGAACAACAATTTATATCTTGTCTACTTCGATCTACGTAGTTTCTAGGCTGCATGATTGTCAATTAAACGTGCCTGACCTTGATTGCCAAGATTGGATCTCAACATGAAAACCGCAAACTTTATCAAGTATGACAAGGCAATATTTTCTAATAGGAATGACTCAAGAATTATCCTAAATTATTTCCATAAACTCTTGTCATCTCGGTTATTTGTTATGAGGCGTTATTTTATCAGACATTTAAACCATTATAGCAACTCTATAGGATAAAGAATGAAAATCTTTTACCAATCGGAGAAATTGCATTAAATAAGGTTTCATAATAATAATCTAAGTTTGATAGCTAACTCACTAAATTCGAGAAATACCAGTTCAATCAAAGTCAACCTTCAAATCAAGGTCATATTTTGTGCACAGCTTTGAAGGTTCACATTATTGTCACTATATTGAAGAAAGCAGCGCGCGAAACCAAAAGTTCCCGCTATCTCAGTGAAGCGGACAGAAACGGAATTGCACGAGAACACAAGCTGGGATTTTCGATATCAAAACTTGCCCGAGAAATCAAATCTCGACGTGCGTCATTTTGGCGATCGGTTTATTTCGCCGACGAGCCTTGGAAGGCTCACAAAAAAGTCATTTGTGGTGAGAATTTCCCAAAAGAACTTATTCCACCAAATGAAAGAGTTTCTCGCCGATAGGGATTGCACATCCGGGCAGGGATAAAACGTAATCAGCCTTGTCGGTGGACATCAGTCAAAAGCACCAAGAATAGTGGGAAATTTGCATCCGTAATGACGAAAATGTGTCCATAATTTCATGAAAAAATCGTCTGGAAAAGTTATCGTTTTCCAGGAAAGCGCTCCGTGAAATGTTTCACGACAGTTTGGTGAATTTATTTAGTTAAGGAGACTGGTTCAGTTATTATTTGCTTCAGAAAAGATTCGTGATTGCAAAGTCCAGTTCAACCAACTTCCACCTACTAGCCCGGATCTCAATGTGATTGAAAATCTGTTTTCTGTTTTGAAGAGAGAGGTCAGTATGCTACCCGTACATTCGACATTGGAGGCAAAAGTGAGACACCCCATGGAGCACAAAATAGAAAATGACTTCATACAGACGTACGTGGATTCGATGCCGAAGTGAGTTCAAAAAGTACTAAAGAACAAACGCAGACCAATCAACTATTAGTGTACACAAACCTGACACCTTCAACATTGTCAATGCTAATTTGTTGTGAACAAAAACTGTTCCATTCTCTTTAGTCACCTCGTAACTCATCAAATTATAGGTCACACACTGTTGACGAAATGGACGTATCCGCTATACATTGAAACATTCCATCTGGTGAGCATAAACGAAAAACGAAAATCACGGCAATAGAGACTCGGTTCAGTTAAATTTTAACAAACATTACCACGCACTTTCGTGCGCATGTTTTAGTTGCAGTCTTTTGGTACCCCCTTTCGATAAAGATGGAAGATGGGAATGTTGAAAGCAGAATCAAGCGGAAGACGGAGAATTCATAGAGAATAGTGATAGCGGAATAATGGTTAGATACACGAGCGCCACCGTTTGCGACACCCAACCATATCACTCAGTGTCTCTAACCATCGGTGACCCAAATCCTGAGGTCCCCAACCAGGGAGCCTAACGGGACCTATGTGACCTAGTCTCCTGGTTAGGGTTTTCATAACCTCATGCCAGGTCTTAGTTTGACCACCCTTATCTTTTCCAACCGCTACCAGCCTTGACAAACATCGCTCGCCGCGGCAACCCATCTGGTGACATGCGTAACACATGCCCCAACCAACGTAATCTATGCAGGTCGATTAATTGCTCCAGTGGACGACCGTGAAGGCCTAAAACTCTACGCCTTACCTCAGCATTGCTCATCCGGTTACCCCACCCGACTTGTGCAATGCGACGTAGACAGCGGTGTTCGAACACCGGTATTCTATTTTTATCCTGTTCCCTTAGTCTCTGCACCGTAGAGCAGGACTGGCGGAACTGCTGCAGCATACACTCGACCCTTCACGGACAGTCTGATGTCGCGACGGCGCCACAAATGCCTCAAGTTGGCAAATGCCATGGCACTTAGCGCAATCCCGACANAACCTTTGAGACGTACATCGCACAATCGGCTACTGACTGGAATCCAGTCAAGAAGCGAGCACTCAGCCTTGGCACTTAGCGCAATCCCGACACCAGCAACACCGCGAGCTTCGGATGCCGAATCGCCTGACACACGAAGGGTGAAGCGTGAGTTTGAGGTTGGTTCAGGAGAACGCAGAGAGATAATGGAAGTAGGGTCGTGTATGAGTGTTTCGGAGACACAACATACATCTACATTGAAAGTTTCGAGAGTTTTAGCCAGAGCAGCTTCTTGGCCAATCTGATAGAGCGTGCGGACATTGAACGCGGTCAAGTGAAAAGGGGATTTTGGCTTTAAAAATCCTATAGCCTCTGAATCTCTGGCCTTGATGGTAAAACGCTGAGTGATATTCGATGAGTGGCGTAAATAGGAGGCATCTGGGATTAATCGAGGTTGAGAAGAAGAACTAGTCAGAAGGGAAGGGTCGTTTTCCAAATGGTGCCTAAGACTTTAGGGCACGGCATACTTCGCGGTAGCGCACACCGGCGAAGGGGTTTTTTTGGGAACCCTAACCGGAGCCTTTGACTCAAGAGTCTGACCCACGAGGCAGTCTGATGTCGCGACGGCGCCACAAATGTCTCAAGTTGGCAAATGCCAATCGAGCCTTCTGTATGCGAGCAGACACTTCATTCATAATGCGCCCACCAGTCACGGTGAGACTGCGTGCTGAACCAATCCAATCTCGTAGTAGCATTTTACACTATGAAGGTGCAAAACGCATACCAAACATGGACACACTAGCACTCAGACTATCTAGAAAAGTATGCAACTTACCTGGATCTTCACTTAGTAGCACAATGTCGTCTGCATACTCTAGATCAGACAGTCTGCCACTTGGGAGTAGATCGATACGGCTATTCTCGCATGAGGATAGGGCTGTTTCAAGAATTGAATCTATGACAAAGTTAAATAGAAGCGGAGAGAGAGGGCAACACTATCGAACACTTTCTGTAGAGAGCTCGGACTCGGCTTCGGCTATTAGTATAAAGCGATTTTAATATTGCGATTAACTTCTCGGACACTCCCTTCAGGGAAAGGCAGCGCCAGAGTTTAGAGCGGTCGACTGAGTCGAAGGTCGCTTTTAGGTCGAGGAAGATGGAAATGGTGAGTCTACGAAAGGAGTGTTTCTATGTTCTAGGATTTGATGAAGTGTGAAAATGTGGTCGATACAACTTCGACCAGGTCTAAAACCAGCCTGGTTCTCACGTGCGGCAGATAATCGACGGAGTATGATACCGGAGAGAATTTTAGTTGATTAAACTAATTCCTCTGAGGTTTTCTTGTAAATCGGTATGGTCACTGATTCACACCATTCATTCAATTGGAACCTGTTCCTTTCTCATACTGAGCCCAGGAGTTTTGTTAACTACAAAACCAAGGCTAGAGCTCCATCCTCAAAAACGGATTGGGACAGCCCGTCGGGACCGGAAGTCTTATGCCGTTTGAGGTAACTTATTTCCCGGGGAATTTCCATTTCAGATGGAGGACTGATGTCAAATGGCAGTATTTGCACCGTTGAACCGGGTATAGAGAGGTTTTATGCTGACAAGGGCCAGCTGAACTGTGTCTTAAAATGTTCTGCCCATCGATCTAGACGGCGTTGCTGAATATGAATCAGTGTGCCGTCAGATTCCTTAATTACCTCACTTACACCTGCTTTCCTCGGTCCTGTACTCTTAATTAAACGAAAAAGATTGCGACTATTACCAATAGCCGCAGCCTTCTCCATCTCTCTGCACTTCCTTACCCACTACTTCTCGCGGTCATTCCTCAGACTGTTGATGAGCTGGCGTTTAAATGGATTTGCGCGCTTTGTCCTAATTTTAATCCGAAGGATTGGCTCTGCGAGCGTCCAGCAGGGCAACCGAGGTCGAGGAGATCCATCGTCTTTTATTTGATCGTGCGCCAGAACACGACGTTGTTTTTATCAACGTTTGGATCGCTTCCTTGATTGCCGATCAGTGTTCACTGGGTCCTCCTCCAGATGATGATTGAGCTGAGAGGCGATCTGATAGTTCCGCCTCGAAGGCTGATTTGCAACTGTCGGTGATAGTGTATTGCGGGCATCCATTTTCGGCGGCCTTTCTGCGGTTGTTTATCAGGCGCAGGGAGAATCTCGCTCATAGCAGAGCATGGTCCGTGTCCACGGGTGCTGACAGTGGGGGCGGCAGTCTTCAATGGATCCTCGCCAGCGGTGGCTGATAGCGATGTGGTCGATTTGAGTCCAGCGCTGTGAAGAAGTTGGCGGTCTCCATGTAAGGCGGTGGCGTTTTCTGTGCGAGAAGTTGGTGGTTGACAGAAACAGTGCGTGGTTGGATCTGGAGAACGCAAGGAGCTAATGGAAGTGCAGTCTTGTATGCGTGTTTTGGAGACACAGCACACGTCTAAATGGATGGTTTCAAGGGTTCTAGCTAAGGCGGCTTGCTGACCGATCTGGTAGAGTGTGCGGAATTTGAGTGCGCTAAGTGAAAAGGAGAGTTTGGTTTCAAAAATCTGGTAGCCTCTGAGTGGCTGACCTTATTAGTTGAACAC